AATATTGAGATATAAATTTTTTTATATTGCCCAGCCCTACTAGAGACAAACTCTTTAAATCACATCAATATGTATAGTGGTCTAATTGGACAGTCATTGCCTGGAATGCAAGCCTTTCATAATTTCTCTTGACTTTGAGATGAGTCTTTTTATAAGGCATGTTATAGCTTAATGACCACTCCTGCTCAATTATTATTTTTTTTTTGCCAGAAAAATAACCATATTTTGGCCTTAAGATGTCTCTGAACCTGACACTGGATCTCTCGTTGAGGCACTTTCCAACAAACCGATCACCGCCTTCAGCTCGTCACCAGTCGGGAAGGACTTTTCCCAAGCTTGCCTGACTTAGTAGTCAGCGTTATATTGGTATGGTATGACTCGAGTTGGTGTTCAGGAGGATATGCAGACTGGTTTGCCGTTCTTGTCGTACTGGTACACCAGCATCTTGATGCAGTGTGAGTTGGCTGGTGAGATCCAAGGACTGCTGGTGATGGAGAAATTGTGACTGGCGTAAAATGGCGGCTGCTTCCTGCATTGGAAAAGGGCTTTTAGCACCGTGCCGGCCATCCTGCGGAAACGCTTGCTGATGAAGCAGTACAGGAAGAAGTTGACACCGGTGTTGAGCAGCGCGAGCATGTTCGCCACGTCTGTGACCAAATGCAGCAGCTTGGCTGGTCCAGGCATTGCCGGTTGGGCCGTGTAAAGGTGGTAAAGGATCATGAGGGTGCGTGGTGCCCAAAGCACAGCAAACACTGAGGTGATGGCCAGCAGGATGGCCGTGGTTTTTCCGGTGGAGTAGCCACGCAGACCGAAGCAGCTACGGCGGCAACGGAGCTTGCGTACGATGATGGCATTGAGTGAGAAGAAAACAGAGCACGGGAGCAGGTAAACCGTTGCACAGTGGACCCAAACCAACACGTGCTGGCCTGCGCTGCTGTTGCGGCCACTGGCGCTTGCTCCCGGCAGACCGTGCCACAGCTCCGGCCACCAGTAATATGGGACGCTGGTGATCAGGCAGCCAACATACACCACCAAGATCACTTTGCGAGTTCGGGCTGGGTAGGAGACTGTGTGGTAGCGCAGCGGATGGCACACGGCAATGTAGCGGTCCACGGTCAGGGGAACCGTGATCCAGATGGAGGTGTGGATGGAGGAGAACTCCAGCACCTGCACCACTTTGTTTAGTGAGTGGGGCAGAGGCACTCCGAGAATGAAGTCTTCCAACAGGAAGTCCACGAACACGATCATCAACAGGACCAGGATGTCGGCTACAGCCAGGGCCAGTAGGTAGTTATAGGATGACTTCTGTCGCCGTAGCACCAGCTGAGAAAGGATGATCACGGTGAGG